TTTTGGTCAGTACAATTTCAGGTTGGATTTACTTGATTTAATTAATGCTGTTAAAGTGCAACCTGAAGGAAAGCCTCAACTTCTAGTTTCTCTTTCAACAAAGCATTTAATTATCTGTAAATAAAGCACCTAAGGGGATCTTTGTCTGTACACATGAACAATTTGCGCTTCAAACTTCTGATACCTGGAGCAGATCTGCTGTGTGCGCTCTCACCCTCCTGCACTGAATTGAGGTCCCAGGAAGGAGGAATTCTGCCCTCTCCAGCACCCAGAGCAACGCCCCCTGCGTGCCATTCCGTCTCCTTCCACTTTCTGTACAACTTTTAAAAGYTTTAGAAACAGAAATTTGAAAAGTGCTTCTCTTTAAGAGAGGTTAGCAGCTAGGCACAATGAACCGTCTGAGTGGCATTTCTAAGGGTCTGTACAGATTCCCGAGCTGATRATGCACCTTACTTTATAAGTAATGTCTCCGTTTTTAAAGTTGACAGTTTTTGCTGTGTTTAATGGCCACGTGCATCTCGGGGCGCGAAAGAGCTGAGTGTTGTTTCATATAAAGGAATAAAAGTGCTTTCAGCGGTCTGATCCTTCTGACGCCCTCCTCCTTCGCGGCAGGCTCCATCAACCACTTAACCAGGTGTTGCCTGAACCCAGCCAGGGCACTTACCGGGCAAAGGGGCCTGACGGAAACTCGGAGCCAAGATGAAAGTGTCAGCAACTCCCTGCGCCTGCGAGTTAACTTTCGGTCCCTGCAGCAGCGCTGGGACCCAGGGAGGGCTGCAGCCCGGCAAGGGCCGGGGCTCGGGGCCCCTAGCCCGGGATGCGGGCATCTCTGCCAGTTCTCCAGCTGAGCGGGTCAGGCCAAGGAGCCGCGCGCCCTCGCCGGGCACACTGAGCCCAAGGCCAGCGCTCCCGCAGGGGCCCCTGGAGCCGTCCGCCCGGAATCCTCCTGGGCACTGCCCCACTGCTCTCAGCTGATCCGCTACAGAGGATGCTTTGTTTTGAGGAATCTGGACAGCTCCCCCGCGCGCGGTGACCAGCTGTGCCCCGCGGGGAGCCCCACCAAGTCGCGCTGCACGCTGCGCGCTGTGTCCAGCGGTGCCCCACCGTGTCCCGCCGCGCCCTGCAGCGCGCGGTGTCCCGAGGTGCTCCTCAGATGCCAACTCACCTCAGCTCTGGCCGGATGAGTTGAGTGTAAGTGAAGCATCGTCCCAGGACGATCTCCGAAAAGTGGCTGGTGGTGCCACGCCCGTGCCACTCCAAGAGCTCAGGTGGGGAGCGCACCTTCAGGACCACGACCGCAACCACCACCACGAGGCTCACCACCAGCAGCCCRACGCCGAAACCAATCAGGGCTTTCTTAGAGATCCGGCAGCAGGGTTCCTCCCCTGACCTCACCGGGCTGAATTCGTAGCTGGACATTGGGCTGAATGCAGGCAGCTGAGCTAAGCTGGAGGAGAGGCCAGCTGGGCAGGAAGAGAGGAGAATGTGGCCTGCCGGACTGAGACTGCACCTCCCCCTGTGCTTTCACTTGTCTCTTTTTGGCTTCAAAGTTCCGCGGTGGCTGGACCAATAAGATGTCAACTGCTTTAGCCTCTGGCTTCCAGACTCCTGAGCTGTTGAACCCAGACTCTCAATCTCCGGAGAGGAACTTTGCTGACACTGTTCCCTTCTGCAGATGCCTGAATAACAGAGTGTGGCCTTACACTCCTTCACCAGCACCTTCTGTCAACCTTTCCCTTCACACTTGAGCTGTGTGTACTTCCTGAAGTGTGCAGGCACCACATAAAATAAACAAATCAATAAATAAAGGCATTGTGTTTACACASGAAGGGTTTTTATGGACTGTTCTGTGTTCACACAATGCCTTCTCCCTGGGAGTGATTACCCTACCTCTACTTCTTGTTGGGTGCAGAGCAGGCTGAACTGTGTTGTCTGCAGGGCAGGCTGAACAGATGTTGGCTGCAAGATAGCCCATGCACTCAAACCCCCCTCTATCTGGTCCTTTATCACCTGTTTGTGTCAAGTCCCGCTCAAGGCTGAGCACTCAACCCCCCTGGGGCCAACAAGGCAGCTTGCAGACCC